CTCCCCATAGGAAAGCATTATTCAATGCTTACCTATGGGAGGTCAGTGAGGACGTCCAGCGTCAGATAACAGACCAAAAGTACGGTTCTGGTATACAGTCACAGAGGGCAGACTTAGAGCTGGAATGTAAACATTGCAGTTCTCTTGACCAGCAGTGTTTTACATTGCAGCACTAAGTGCAAAAGGGTCACAGCACCCAGACCACTTCAATTAGCTGGTGGTCTGGGTGCCTACAGTGTCCCTTTAAATAAATTGTGACATGGTGTAATATGTCATGTGCTGTTGTTCATCTGAGGTTGTATTTACCTAATTTTGAGACCTGCTAAGGAACGGATGGTTGTTATTATGTCCTGATATGTAAAACCATAGAATTCAAGGAGGGTGTACTTTCTTTTTCCAATGTCTGTAGATAGATAGATAGATAGATAGATAGATAGATAGATAGATAGATATACAGACAGACAGACAGATAATTAGGGATTGAACATGATCACGTTATGTTACAATTCTCCTAAATATTTATCATAATTTGTCCTATATTTTGTTATTTTTATCCCCCGTACAGCACTTGAGAAAAGGTTAATGCTTAATAAATAATAATAGAGGGAAAAAAATAGAGTAGCCACTCAATGTGTGACTGTGTGCCCTGGCACTGTACATTGGAGGGGAACCACAAACATCACAAGACCACAAACTGCTCACGCACTCACACATTGTAACTCAGCCCACATTTGCATAAATACAATGCTACAAAACATTTGCAGCACTCCTACATAACACAAGCAGAATACGGCAACATACACACAAGTTAATTTAAAAAATAAAAGTAGGGAGGCGGGGCGGGGCCGGACCGCCAAGATGGACGGGCGCAGCAAAGATCAGCTCCTGCAAATTACAACCTATTAAGCCTATATACAATACTTTCTGACAAATTTAACAACCTGCAGCCGCGACCTTCAATGAGCACGGGCTACCGGATCCGAGGAGAGGCTTGCTCCCGGAGTTCTAGTCCCTCGGAGGAGAGATCACTGCTGATCCAGACGGGACCTTATCCGGCGGTGAGTGGAGTAGAGGGCCACTGCCCCATTATCCTGCCCAACGCTGCCCAACAGGCACTCTAAACCGTGGCGGATCTGTGCCTGTTCTCCCCCGCCCTGGACCGGGGGGATTATCCTGGTCCCCATGGGTGACAGCCACAACTGCCGCAAGGCCCAAGCACCAGCCCAGCAGCGAAGTGCAGACAAGGCAGCACTCATTAAGATGGCAAACAACACTCAGCCACTTGTGAAACTACAGGACGAGACGACCAGGAGCAACCGTGTGCCCGCACCACAGACCCTGAAAGCATCCCTGGACTCCCTCCAGGACTAGCCAGTGGGTTCCCCTGAGCAGCCCACAGCACTACCACCGACAAGTGAGCGGGAAGGTGTGAGGCGAGCGGAGAGCGGGTCTCCCCTGGGCACTCCCTACATTGCAGAACCAACACCCGCACGATGGGCCCACCAGGGCTGAAGGCCACTAGGGAACCACTCCCGAAGCATTGGCCACCGGCGCGGTCCCAACACCAGGAACGGTGGCTCTCCAACAGGACACACTGCAGCCTTCCACAAGGACAAGTTCATGCCTCCCACAGGAGATATCCAGTTCGTGGCCCAAAGATGCAGGCTTTCAAGATGGCACAGAGCTTTGGGGAGGACTCACCGAGCTCCGTCTTCCAACAACACTCTGCCTCCTAGACCCACTGTCAAGCCGAGGCAAAGGCTGTCCAGTGACTTCTACCCCAACTTGATGTGCTGGACTACTCATACAAATCCAGGACTCACCTGCTAACATACCTGCTAACACACACAGCTCCGCATTTGATTGCACACACCTGACAACCTGGCAACCCCACTTGCTTTAACACATGCAGCACGAAGCAACACAGGGCAGGTACACACACGACATGCTCCTGGCACAGCCACCCACACAGCTCCGACAGAACACAAGCACATGTATCACTTGAGCCCCTACCAGACTCGAAGACCGGTACCACATATATTAGAATACACTAGGCCCTAGAACCCTTGGCAACTTCAGCACCCTAGACCAAACTCGACATTCGGACATCCACAAAGTGATCTCACACTCATGTAACTATAGCCTGTAAACTAAGACATCATGACACTTAAGCTTCATGAATATACTCACTCACTTAAAAGAAAAAATATGCAAGTTTTATCAATGCTTCTAATGTTGTATGAAGTAATGCGCTTGAGTACTGCTGTCGGGCACCACAATCTTATGTGTTACAATCAAATATGCACAATAAAAATATTAAATATAAAAAAATAAAAAAATAAAAGTAGGACTGGAATGCCAAGGTATTTCAAAGCCCTGTTTTGGCACAGTTTCCTACCCCTATTCTAGGGAACATACAAGTACCATGCCATGTGTAATTGCATTTAGCTTTGCATTTGGTATGATAACAGACTTGCTCAGTCATGCGGCATGGGGCTAGCGACATTATACTGTAAGTACATCTGAACTCCTTTTTTTTTATAATTCTTTATTTTTGCTGTGCATGAAATGGTAAACACACTTACAATGCCACATTACAGTATTCGCAACAGGAGTATTTCAAAGTCATATATTGTCATGGCATAGTGAAAGATTGCACTTTTTTTTTGTAATTTAAACAATAGTGTCAGGCTGTTCAGACATGTCCACCTGTTAGGTAAGTGGTAGGTTTATCTTAGATATGCAGGATTACTTAGACATGAGGAAAATTAATTTTGATAACTGTGGAACATGTTACTCTAAGCTTTTGAGTGAAACAGGGTCTGTAACAAGCTAGACAATAGTGAGACTCTAGGAGTGTATACTCTAAATAGGAATTACATCTATGTCTTAGACAGGCGATGTGTGTGTTCTCATCCTATTGATTGTAGACATGAGATGGTCAGACCTTAATATGAGTGAGCCACTGGGTGTCAGAACATATATACAATGCTGCCTCTTACTACTAAATGCATGTACCAAACTGTAACTTATAAGAAAAAACACAAAGAGAAACACAAAGATAAGGAGGTACAGCTAGATTGAAGCCTATGTGAGCTAAGTGGAGTTGGTGAGGTCGGGGTAGCAGCGGTTGCTCGAGTGTTAATCCCATAGCAGTTATGCTGTCCCTGGTGAGGAGCAGACCTTCAGGCTATTACCATGCTAAAAAAATGCAGTTTGCATGTGTGAAGGGTCTGCAAGGCAACTATGCCAGGGGTGCGGTGCAGGGCATGCCTCCAGCCCCAAGCTAGGTAGTAGGCCGGCATCTTCGTGCCATGGACTTCGGTGATCATGGTGAACAAGTCCTTTCCCCTAGGGGTGGAAAAGAAGGCCTTGATGGTGTGTCTCAGCTGGTGGTCTTCTGTCTGTGTGGACGATGCAACGGGGCTTTGCCCCTGATGGCACTCATCCCAGGCAGGCCAGTAGCGAGGAGTGTTGATATTTGATCAAGGTAAGTGCCCGAGGGGGGCCAAATCACCGCCTGGCTCCTGCTTTCACATTCTCTCTCCCGGGATTGAGCCGGTAATGCTGCTTGCCGTTTCGTCCGGGAGGCCCAAAAGTGGTCAAAGATATCATCGAGGTACCTCAGGGAGTGTGCCACCAGATCAGGCAATTTGAAACCAGACCGCTTTATTCGGAGGCCACGTGAAGGACTCACCGCCTTCATCTTGTGGAGTTACGCAGCGCTGGGGTTTCAGCCGATGTAGCGCAAGTGTTCAAGCTATTGTGTGTAGCAAGCCAGTGGGATAACCCCCCGCCGGCCCGGGGGGGCAGAAACGGGGCTGTAAGGTAAGCCTGTAGAAGCACAGCGATGTAGAGCAGAGGAGAGCGGTCGCCAACCCTGCCTGATGGCTCCACCAGGCCTTGCTGACACTGCCGTGAAAGAAGCAGAATGCCAACCACAGAAGTGATCGAGGGCACCTCGGCTGGCACCAGGAATAGGTAAGTGATCTGTATTGTTTGGTCAGGCTGATGAACGATAATGAAGTGGTTTAGCAAGATCACACTTGGAGCTCAGAGAAGGAACCTCCAGCCACCATAGAGTTCAGGCCTGCCCCCCCATTTGAACTCCTTTTTAGAGCACTTGTTCTCAACCAGTAAAAATAAAACTTGTATTTGGGGAGTTTAAATCAGCATTAGGCAAGCTGTTATATATCAGTAAGAGATGCCATTAGTCACTAGGATACATGTTTACTAGTCAATAGTGAGGAGTTCCTAGGTACTTGTTATTGCAAGTCAACTGATTTTCTAGAAGGCCCCAGCTGTACAAGTCATTTATAAATGGTAGATGATCTTGTAACAAACATGTTTTAAGTGAGTAACTTACTATATCGTAGACCACTGATTACCAACCCTGGCCTGGTTCACCAACAGTCCAGGTTTTGTCCGTATCTACAGAATTTAGAAGTGGCCACTGTGCAAGACGAAATCAGAGCACCTTAAATGGTACTCTGGACACCAATACAGCTTGAACGCATCATATTTTCAGGCAATGATAGAAAACGATTGATGGCTAGGGGATAGTCACAAAAACTTTAATTTTATTTACAGATCAAATGAGAAGTGACTGACAGAGAAGGAAAAAGGAGATCAGTAAATACAAAAATGTCTATATTTATATATTCTATATTTAATAAAAATAATCTGATAAATATAGATTATTTTTTTTACTGTTCCTCTATGTTTTCCCCTCTATTAGTTACTCACTTGTTCTGTGAACTGATAATATTTATATTAAGTATATATTTAGCAGTACACTAATTGGTCCATTTTTACACCATTTTTAGTATGTGCTCATGTTTCCCCAAATAGTTTTTCATGAACGACGGTCGACTGAACTGAGCCATTACATGAAGAGTTCTAAATATACTGAACAAAATGTCTATTATGTAAAATATTATCCATCCGAAACAAAAAATCCCACAATGCACAGGTCTACTCAAGACATCTGTTTTGCTCACCAGGGTTCTGCAAATAAATAAGATATCACTTGTGAACCAAATTTGCCACCTGCACCAGGTTACTTTCTTTAGAATTTAATTACGCTGTCAAAAGATTTTTTTCTTTTTTTTATTGGCTCAGTGTTTTGAGAAATGATAAGCACCTAAGTTGAAATGCAGTAGGCTGTCTATTCCAGAATACTATAAAAAAAAAAATACTGATATTAAGATTCTAATATGAAGACATATCTCAATCGGACTTTGGTAATTACATAATAACAACAATTATGTAAGCTGACTTTTTTTTTGTATTTAAATTTTCTTATTAAATGATATACAATAATTCATGAGCTCAAAAACCATAATAAACCTTTTTATTTACAATCATTTCAGTGCACGGTAAAGACTTTTGGAGATATACACATAGAGGATTAAGACCAGATTCACATTTTAGTTGGTCAGAGAGTATATGACAGTTCAGGAAGGAGCACTGTAGAACAACAATATCGATGAATATTTTCTGGATCCGTACTGTGATTTCCTGACAGTTGTGCTAACCCTTCGTCTCTAGACCTGAACATTTTGTATCACCATTGCATATAGTGGTTGGTAGCCACTTGACGTCTAACTACTGTGGACCCAGTTCTCACTAGTCTATGCCAGCCTCGCAGTCCAGAGAATCTAGAATTTAACTTGACAAGTTACATCTCCTGTATAGGACACAAGGAATTAAAGTCCAGAACAGCTGTAGTTCTAACAGCTGCTTATAGCTGGTGCAGAAATCTGAGCATTGTAAACCAAAAGATCAGAGTACATATTCTACCTAGGACTGCAACTGTACTCAATAAATAAGTACTGCAAATACTAAGTCGTCAAATACTGGACACATTATATTTTACCCTCCTGTAGCATATTGTTACCAGGATTAGGGCTACATTGCTATGGAACTGCTACTGAAGCTACTAGCATGTTTATTAAAACCGACTTTATATCTTTCTAGATCACTTCTAATGGAACTTGGCAATGAAGTTTGTATTTTTAGAGTACTAGGCATACGTCTGAAGCTGAATTGTGTCATTTCAAGAGGTTTAAGATTACCCCATTTTTTATATTGTATTTTATATAATGTTTCTGTATGGATAATCATTTAACACCATCTGCCAGACACGTTTATAATGAGTTGAGTTCATTCCTCCTTTGTAATGTTTTAAATTTAAAGAATCAACATACAAAATTAAAGAGTCTCTGAGTGTGAATCGTATTACAGAAACATGCTTCCTACAATCGCCTCTCTCATCTAACCTAGTGTGGTCTGTAAGAGATCATTGATTTTACACAAGGAGAGAAAAACAACTTCAATTAAATGACTGAACAAAATGTAGCATGTACAATACTGGTACAAATGCTATATGAGGGTAAAGCAGTTTGCAATGTACTCTCTGAGATAATATCTTACTATATTTACAGGGTATTCCAGAGCACATCATTCTGTTATTTGCACCAACCACAACTGTGAACATTAAGACTAGCAGATAAAGGTTAGACTTTGAAGGCCTGGCCAACCAGAGGTCCAGTTACTGCACTGAAAGCAATAAATTTAAGGAAGTCAAGCCATAGTGGTTTATCTTTAAAACATGGATTGAAAGATATTAAGTCGGCCGCAAGTCTTAACAATCTCACAATATTTGGGCAATGACTTCTCTGGTACTTTACCGAGGAACTCGAGGCACTCCTAAACTATGCAGTATAAATTAAGGCTTTGAATTTTCAACAAGGTGCAGATATCCATTCCAACCCAGACAAGCTAAATCTTCACAGTGCATCCGAAACTAGTTTCTCCCATAAATTAATCACCCAAGTCCGACATTGTCCATTTTCCTTGGGATTAATGTAGTGGGGGGCTCTGAGGAGCAGGAGGGTCTGAGCAGGGCCCAGGCTGTGGTGTGGAGAGCTCAGTCACGGGAAAGGGTTTAATGACACTGGTTTGCTGGGGTTCAGAGGTTATGTCTGTCCTTTCGCTGTCACTAGCCATCAGGTCTAGTGACTCACATTCACTGCTTTCACTGTCCCCTTCTGATCTGTATGGGCTTCTGTCAATGTCCACCTCTCCTGGGCAAGGGGTGTCTGTTTTCTCTGCCTCTTCCTTTTCTTTGTCCTTCTGGGCTTGAGCTTCTTTAGAGTGTCTCCATTTCATACGTCTATTCTGAAACCAAACTTTCACCTAAAGATACAAAAAAAATAACACAGTTTGTTAGGCATTGTATAAACTTGCTGTCGCATTGTATAAACCCGTCGTTGAAAGATTATGGCAATACCAGTATGTCAATAATATAGTAAAGAGAAACTAAATCTACAATATTATTCAAGATGTTTAAGTATGGATTACTTGTTTGAGATAGACACACAGACAGGTATGTAGAAAGAGAGAGAGAGAGAGAGAGACAGACAGAGGGAGATAGATAGATAGATAGATAGATAGATAGATAGATAGATAGAGAGAGAGAGAGAAAGATAGATAGATAGATAGATAGATAGATAGATAGATAGATAGATAGATAGATAGATAGAACAATGTCCTAGTTTTTTTTCATCTGCTTGCAGAAGTCATTGTAATTTCATACTTTTAATTTCCTGTTTTCTCTTGCAGTGGCTCAATAAGCACTCATGATAGAAAGGGTGCAGCACATTCAATGTTACATTTAATCTTGAGAACAACTGACTTAAGTCTAACCAATCTAACCTACTTAGCTGTTCAAGTCTAGAAGTTCAGTTCTCGTCATCTTAATATCCAATGATTTTACCCCAATGACTGTAGCAAAAGTTAAATTTCAGCATTCATCTGCCAAGGCAAGTAATGAAGTCAAATAAAAAAAAAAACACATAAAAACAACCAATCAGGCTTCCACAGTACCCCACCAAAATTAGAGCGAAACCTGAGTATGACTCTCATCTAATCATCCCTATGAATATGTCCCCCTCCTTTATCATGAACAGCTTCTTGAACCCAGGAGAAACCTGACCGCCATTTTGGAGTTAAAAATAATGTTTTGCCGTTTTGTGGCAAATATTGGAAATGTTGTCAAATTGGGTTTCTGGCTTTCTGTTGAATCAACAGGAGATGCTGAGACGTGATAGACTGAACTTGATGGACTTGAGTCTTTTTACAGTCCATATTACTACATAACTATGCAAAATGTGAAAAGGGGTGACGTTAAGACATTAACCCCACCACGGATGGAGCAACACAGGTGGTTCTAAATTTTTGAACTTCACAGAATCATCCCTGAATGTTTCAGGAACTATTTATAAAATAGCTTCATATTAATAAGATAGATTCACATTAATTATTTTATTATGCAAATTAAGTCACTTGGAAAAATAAAACAGGATATATAATAACTAAATTGTAAATTGTGACATTAAGGACATGCTTGCAAAATTTAGGCTAACTTATTATATTACTAATAGTATAATAATTATTTTTTTTTAGTTATATTTTCAATTGATTATTTAGTGAGTAGTGACTTTATGCATGTTCAATAACGTTGTTGTTTTTTTTTAATTTAGGGAATATGCATTTATATGTCCCTTCCATATAAACCTGGATAAATGTATAAATGAAAAACAAACAGTGGTTTTACAAGTACAATATGCAGAAGGAATCAAAACAATTATGACTATATTTAAGGACTATTTTGTTTGAATTGCCTGCCTGGTTAAGATCCTAAAAGCATCATTATTGTGGATGAGAACCCTAGTCTAGCAGAGACTATTATTTCAATAAATTGGAATTTTTTTTAAAAAATGTATGTGGATATTGTCCCCAAGAGATCCAGATAATTACCCTGATTAAAATAGGGTTTTAAACATAACTTATAGAATCTTCCCAAGTGACAGAGAAGAGACATTTTCTTGCAAAAAAAAAAAAAGAAAGAGATTTAAATATAAAAAGCAAATTGCTCAAATATATCTTGTGGTACACTTTATCTGGTGCAGTGCTGGACAGTTGTCCTCCCTTTAAAGCTCTGCATCTCATACCTCAGCAAAACAAAAAATGACTATTTTCTAAAGAATAAAGCAGAAGTATTTATTATGTGAGAGAATTGTCCTGTAGTTCCCTTTTCTCTTTGTCTATTTTAATATCTCATCGTTTTGAGCCTCATTGTGCAATGCAAAAAAGGGGGAGATTGGAGGGGTTTAAAAGGAATGGGTTGCTTCAACTCACCATAATCTTGCTACACTGTAACCACAATGACTTCAGATGCACTAATAGATCTCATTATACAGCCTTATGTTTGATGATTCCGTTTAAAAGAAAAAAAAAGAAAGACTACATATTTTCACTTCCCTATCAATCCTTTATTACACAATTTACCAGCACTAAAAAATTGTACACATACATTATATTTCCCTAACAGTTATTTAAAAAAAAAAAAAATCAGAACTGGCCACAGACCTCGTATTTTTTTGTATGTTTTTTATGTCTCAAAGTTTGTAAAAATCGGTTCAACTCTTCAATAGCAAGCTATGTGCAGTAGACAGAATAACCATGTTTATTTAATTAAAATATTTGCCACGGTTTACAATTAACATTAAACACACTATATAACTCAAATCCTATATTTCAAAAAAATTCTATCTGTTTTCTGGACATTTAGTTTGTAGCCTTATCATTAGATGATTACATTTGGGGGTTATTTCTAACACAGAGTAACAAAATGTTTACTCAAAAATATATGTCTGCATTAATCGAATTTGTATTTATCTCTGATTCCAGGCTATTATTAATATTAACAACAATTAATGTAGATAATATACCTAGAATTGAAGGATAGTTTTATATTTGTGTGTGAGAGTGTGCAGTATTTTAAATGAACTAAGGTTAAAATTTAAAAATCTTATAATTAATCTCTATGCCTATGAAATAGTTAAACTTATTTGGTGTAGAGTGAAAATATTACATAAATTCTCAGAATATATTTTTTTTTTAAAAACTCTATCTATATATATACAAGTTCAAATTGAGTTTTATCAATTTTTGCTCTTGCTATAATTTATACATAAATATTTATATTAATTGCAATTACAAAATGCATGAAAAATACAGGCTCTCAAGTCTGATCATTATATAGTTAATTACTTTCTTATTATGTCAAGTGGACTTTAATGCTGTGATTTTAAAAGTTATACACAGCGATGTAAAGAAATTAAATCTGATTTATTTTTTATTTTTTTTATTTAATCAACGGTAAGAATATAAAAGGTGATCAACGTTTCGGCTCCACAGCTAACACGACTCCCTGTAATCTGATGTAATCTTAGCAGTGTGTCCATTATGTTGTGTCCATATTACTAGGAAGTTGTCTGAACAAGCCTATAGAACGTTATGAGACTCTCATATAAGTGAGGAATTGAGAGCTCCTTACCTGGGCATCGGTAAGTCCTAACATAGCGGCCAGCTGCTTCCTGTCCGGTTTGGTGACATATTTCTGGACCTCAAAGCGTTTCTCCAGCCCTTTTCTCTGCAAATTAGAGAAAACAGCTCTTGACCAGGACCGCTTCCTTTTGTAGGTCTGGGGCATGGTGTCCTTAGTCAAAACTGCATAAGGGCCTGGAAGGAGGGGGAAATCAAAATATAAATAAAAATTATCAAATATAAATAAATTAAATTAAACAAAATATTTTAATGCACAGTTTATATACAGCTATATATATATATGTATACACACACACACACACACACACACAAACACACACATATATACACACTCTATAGGGTTAAAGTGATGTGTTTTGGTGCACATACAAGCACACAGCTGGGTTATAAAGCAAACTCATTGTGGTTGGTTTACTAAACTGGGCATTGCCAGATTTAGATCAAAATAGGCAAATCTAAAAATTTCTCCCAGATATGTATATATTTCCAACTCTTTGATTATGACCCCATAATTTTGAATTTCCTTGTTAAGTCTGCATAGTTCCCATTAATGATTAATTCCCTAAAATTGCATGGAGAATAAAAACAAGGAAGGTTAACGTTTCGGTCACACTTTAGGACCGTTATATATATATATATAAATTTTTATTTATTTTTTTCCTTTATCAAGATGCAACTGTCAAAACAAAGACACATAGAAACAGTATTCACTAAACTGTGAATTGAAGGGAAATCGCCAGGCCATTGCAAGGTAGGTAAAGCCAAATTATTAAATTTGGAAATATATTTGTCCCACAGTTTGCAATTTCCTGAGAATCCCTGCGTGGGCTTATTCACTAAACCATAAATTTGCGTGGTGAGTAATTGACCAGAGAATTGCAAATTTAAAGATAAAATAGCTTAACTGGAAACATAAAGGAGATTGGGAGATTTTTTTCCATTTCTACTAATTTGGCCTGAAATTGTCAATTTCCCATAATTCTGCGTTTTGTTTTTTTTGTTTTTTAACTAATCCCACTAATCTATAGAACTAACATGCAATACATCTGGGCGATTTATTATATGTATTTTTCTGTGTGTGTATTTTGAATCAGATGAGAAATTCGTTTCACCTCTGTTATATTGTGCACCTCGAGAGTTGTATTTTTATTTTTTTTGGGGGGGGGACAATTACAAAATATATGACTTGATGTATCTGAAAATCAGATTTATTGGACTTTATTTTAATATTGATCCATGAATTCTTTGTGATAACCAGGGGATAGTAGTAGTGTATCACTGGACCATAAGACAATGTCTCAGAAAGGGCTTTAATATTTGTACCTGGAAAAGTGTCCTGAAATTGCTGTTGTACTGAGCTCCTCTGGTTACTGTTAATTTGCCCCAGAATAGAGGATGTCTCGTTAATGTGTTCTAAGGAGGTGAAGAATGGTCCGGCTGCAGATTGGATGTGCTGAACACAGGCCCCTGGCTGGCGGCCTGTACTGATTAATGATGTCAGATCTGTATTCACAAATACAAGGATATCTCTGTTACATATCACAGCACACAATCACCCCCCTGACCACAGCCAAACAGTACAGGACAGTGCACCTAGCCTTAGTTTATTTTATATTAGTTATAATTCCTTTATTACATAAATACAAAGTAACAAGTGTTCAATTTTATGAAACACTATTGTAGATCTCTGTAGATCTCTGTATAAGTACAATGTATCCAATATCTAGGTTCCAATGTGATATATCAGATTTGTAATGAATAATGCACAGGTAAGTACTCCAATGTCCTATTTGAAATATTATGTCTGAGTATAATATCCTTATGGAGTGTAGAAACTAATTTAAATTGCATCTGTTAAATGTATAATGTATAAGGAATTTAGACTATTTCCCATTATTTCCCTGCTGTAAATATAATATTTTACCACTCATAATATATCATTTATCGTTCAGATGTTTGGGGATGATACATCTTGTATCTCAGATCTATGAATTATTATATGTCTTTAAATATTACATATCTATCGGGAGAATGCACAAAAAATATCTCGTCTAACAGTAAACATAATTACAGCATCGTTTGAAGTTTATAATATATTCATGATATAAATATTATAGAGAACCTTTAGCATTTTTTTTGTATCCCCCTTTTTATATTATGGACTATTATAAGGTAACACTCAGAATGTATAAGAACTCTTTATGATAGTAAATATGCGATAGAGTCATTAGAACAATTATAGCATTGACCTTGATTTTATATATAATATGGGGTATATTATCATAAATTATCTTGGTGTAAATATTAACTAGTAACCTTCAGAATTAATATAGAATAGAATTTATAATATCAGGAATGATCAGTCTATCAATGTGAAACTGTGTATCTCACACTTTATAATCATATGCATTATCTGCCTGCAAGTGGTATGTGTAATACAACATATATATCATGTGTATAATCATGTACATTAGAATACATAATTGTTCTTGGGGGGGAAAGTGTATGTAAATGTTTATGATCAACACGTCATATTTACATGTAGTATAAAAATAAGAGACTTTTGTGAATCGAAGTTTCTATTAGTCAGCTATTTCCAAAAAAATATATTCCTTATTTCTATTTGAAATACTGATTGTATTTTTTTTTTTTTTTAAAGTTATATGACATATGGTTTGATAATTCAGCAAGTTCCCATCGCTAATGTAGGAAATTATGCTGTTGGGCTTTTTTTCTGGGTTTTTTTTCTAAGCAAATGACAATATGGCTTAATACATGATTATACAACATTCCAGAAACTCGATATGTTAATATTTTATGGAAACAATTTAAGAATGACCCTGCAATAGTTTTTCTTTGATTGGCCAATACATTCTACATGGATATATCAGTCATAGTATGAGTATGGATGTGTATGTATAAACATAATATATCATAATAAAATACTACTTTTAATAAATACAAGGATTGGTCTCCATGTAGATCTGGCAACTATTACTCCAAAATCAGAATACCCAACTTTAATAAGAGATGTAATTAATTCATTCATTACCTCTTAATGTGTTGCCTTCCTTTACTTTGGGGTCAAACTCGGTAGAGAGGATCCGGTCAATCCCAAACTTGAGATCTTTGCTGGATGGTGCAGGGTGGGAGGCTCCATGCATCCTAACTGAGCTGAGGCTGGAGTTGCTGCAGAGGCCAGCTGGCCGGTGGGGTTGGTAGGGGGACATTGGGGACAGTCTGTGGTGGAATCCAGTGGATGAATCTGGGGTCACTGGGGTAGGTCTCAGAGGGGAACCTGCTGGCTGGTACTGGGCTTGGTGCAGGACCCCCATATGGGCTGCTGTCAGTCCTGAAGAACCAGGGGGGCTGTCAGAGTCCCCTACATGCAGGATGTCTGCAATGCAAAAAGACGGCTTCTTCCCGGGATCCAGAGGGGGGAAGCCAGCACCCCCACCCCCAGTGCAGTAAGCTGACCATATGTTAAAATGAGAAGCTGCATAGAAAGGGGCCAGGCCGGTGGTATACATCTTCCAACCAGCACAGGGGGCCCTGGGTCTTCTGACTGGCACTGCCAATGGACCCTGGATCTGACAGTTACTTGCTGCTTCTCTTGGGTATGTTCTCAGAGTCACAGTGGTCCTTGTCCTGATGGAGCTGGTCTCACAGTGATCCTTGTTCTGATGGCGCTGCGCTTACAGTGGTCCTTGTTCTGATGAAGTTGGTTCTGATTGAGCTGGATGCACAGTGGTCCTTGTTCTGGTAGAGTTGGACTCACAGTGGTCCTTATTTTGATGAAGTAGGTTCTGCTGGAGCTGGACGCACAATGGTCCTTGTTCTGATGGAGCTGGATTCACAGTGGTCCTTTGGTGGCTTGCCAATGAGAAGCTCAAGTGAACTCTGACTGTGTATGTGTGTTGCTATCTGAGGCACAGATGGACCCCTTGGTTGTGTGTGTTGTGCAATCACACACTCAGATTGTGGAGTGTGAATCTCAGACACACAGCACTCAGAAGACAGGACACTCTGGGCTGTACAAGTTTGCCAGAAGTTTAGCACAGTGCACTGTACAAGAGTCCCCCTCCCCTCCCCGATTGGCTGCATGCCCAGCCTAAAACTGCAACCTCTCCCCTTGCCTTAGCCACTCCTACTCCCTAATGCTGTTTAATACAGCACTTGTATCCTTAGAATTATACCACTCCCTGTCTGCACTTCATCCAATGGGGAAAAAAAATTAAGAAAAAAAGTTCAAAAACTGGGTAACAATAACCATTATTCCCAAATTAAGGAGAAGGCGTTCTTTCAAAAACACAATGGGATGAGATTTCATTACAATGATCAATTACTAATTGCATTGCAATAAAAAAAACATTTTCATCCATGAATTTTGTCTGTAAAACCGTTCATACATTTACCAGGTACAACAGTAAGAGAGACCGTTACAGGAGAATGTAAAGGGTTGAAGGAGATACATTTATTCTGGTAATTGTATTACCTATTATTACTTTGTATTACTGATATTTGCAAATAAAATCTAAATCCAACAAATATATTATTAATATAAATTTATTCATTGTTTTAATTACAAAAATATTGAGGAAACGTCTTTTTACAAAAATACAAATATATTTAAAAAAAAAGACTAAACATTTAAGATAATGTTATGCTGGAAAATATTTCTAGACTTTATAAACTAAATAATATTATAATGCTAACTAGATTGTGTAGTCTCCCATTCATTAAATGGGGAGAAGTAATCACCTCGCACAAATCCTTTGTACTTATAATACCAAATTATTTAACCAAGGAACTGGGACTGATATATTTATTTTACTAAAGCCAGGTACATATCACATGCAATTATCAAAGTTTCTCCGCTTGTTTTATATTATTTGTGTCCTTTGATATTAGTATTTATTTGGAATGACTGCCGAGAATAGACACTCTGACCCGGAGGTTTGAACAAAAAGTATCTATATTGTATCTGGCGCTGGTTCATCAGTTGCAAAAGCAAATCCGAGGACACATAGTTTCACTTATAATATATTGGATTTCAGACAATAGTGTCATCCTGTTTCCAAGCTATGTGGCTGTGATTAGTAATCGGATTGCTTTTATTGCAGACTACAGTGTGGTCAGGTATAAATATACAATTTTGTTCTTGCATTACTCGCCGAATATTCCAAAACTGGGATTAATACGATTTATTTTCCTGTACATGTGTGTTCTTTGTGTTGTACGTAAAGTGTACCTATTTAAGGAGGTCTATGGGGTTTAATTTACTAAACAGTGAGTTGAGGCGAGCAAATATAATTTAGACCCCCTATACCAAAGTTGAAAAAAATATCTCCACCAACACATTTTTCTTTGCTTATTAAGTACACCTTATAGAATATGCTATGGAGATATTACAGCACAATTCTGACTCTAATAAGTTACCTACCGTTATGCATTTTATATAAATTCGTGTCCAAAATTCTAAATGTGGAACAGTTACCATGGAAACCAGGGGAAAGTTCTGAAAGTAGATTTGGAACTTTGCACCGGAATTTCTCCTTATACAGAGCCTTTTTGGCTTGTTGTCCTTGAAGAATATATTTTATACATACATAAAATCTTGCTGTGACTGCATTTTTACATTAACTATTACATGCACCGTTTACTATTCAATACAAATGGACCTCTCTGGACTTTGGGGAGAGGCTGTTTCAGGGGTTATTATTTGATATATTTATTGATCACAAACACAGTAAGGCATTTAATAACAAGAATTTAGAAAAGTTTGTGAGGTGTATTCAATAAAAAAGCAAGTTATGGTGATATGTTCCAATTTGACTACTTTGGCCTAGATTCTGCAGGGCAATTATCAGCTCATTATAACTCACTGTTTAGCGAATGGACCCCTAATCCGAAACAAATGTGCAAACTATGCAATGGTGGTTTTTTTATTTAACATATATAGCTGTTTGAATAATTAAATCACAATTGTGAATGTATGGCTTTAGATTCATTTTTTTAACAATTGTGTATTTTTGTATTGATTGCAAATAAATTCACATTAAATGTGACTTTTTATACATGGACCATATGAGGATGTATAAATAAAGCAATCATTCAGTTACATATTGGTTTTGCACCAATTATTTTAAACAAATCTGACACAGATATGTTTTGTTTTTTCTCAATATTACTTATAAGACAGGAATTCTCCAATCTAGTTGCCTTTGTGTAAAATTTCTACCCATAAAGATTTTGCATACCCAATCAAATCCAGGACTAAATGAATCTGTATCTAACACGGTGGGTTGTTTGTTTAATTGTTTATTTGTTTTTATTTTTAATGCACAAGAAGGCTCTACATTTTTTTAGATCAGAAAATAAAAGACATGGATTTTTTTTAGTCTGGACTGTATTGGTAATCAATGAAGTGGGGAGAATTGTAAACCAAATTGGAATAATTGGGCAAAAATATCCATGCTGGAAAAATAGAGGGACTGTAGAATTAGTCCACCTCAGCTGATTTGAAGTTGATTGCACAATTCTGTTTGCATTACACTATAGAGCACTGTTTAGTCAATATCTCCAGCACAATTAAAAGAGAAAGTAGAGATAGTGGAATAACCGACATTAAATGGAATAATTGTCTCACAGTTTATTATCTTTTACAGTTTGCTGGCAGTTGGAAGCTCTTTTCAAGGTATCAGGTTCACTGACCCCAAAATATAACATTAATTTTTTTGAATATTTTTTTTGATAGAGATACAGTCATAGTTTGTTTATGTATTTTTATTATTATTATTATTATTATTATTATTTTAATGGAAAAAAAAGTAGGAAACAGCACTTTTTGCTTAAATCTATTTTGAATCTTGTTTCATGTATCCATGTGTGTACACTAACACAACAACTAAGTTATAGCCACACTGTATGCCCAAATTAACTTATAGGAGAACGTTTCTATTTTTTCCCAAAAGTGAGAATTCTCATTAGAGTCTTGAATTCAAAGACGTTGGGTTTATTCATTAAACAGTTAGAAGACATGATAAGTGAATTAAAACATTTATGGCAAAATTAAATACTCCAACTCATCTATCCTTCCAATTTTACTATTTTGGCCTATTTTGACACTATGAACAAATTCACCAACTTCAAGTGTCTTCATCAGTGATCATGTGCCCTCTGTCCCAATGCATCCTGGATCAAAATAATTCATTTATATCTTCCAATCTAATAAAGTAAAGTAGGAAATAGACCAGGAAACGCTGTAAGCCAGCAGGGTGAAAGGTAGCTGGACCATTAGTTATTGCAGAATTGAAATTTTCCTTGATACCTACCAGATTCAAAGTTTGCAGAGCATCATGGGAAATGTAGTTCTACAGTAACTGGGGATCTAGCATTGGCCTCCTATGCTATAGGGGCAAAATTAGGAGAGCTGTAACTTCAATGGCAATACCTGTCTCTTTATATGTAGATTCATTTTAAGGTTGAGGTTGAGAAGGCTCCATTTTGGGATGAACTTCACTAAGGGAACCTTTGGGACTGAACTTGCATATACTCAGATTTTGGATTTGGGATGATTAGGCCTTTTGAAACCTTCTGTTTAATCTCCTATTCCTCCTGGGGGTATTTATTTTAAGTAATTCGGAAGTAAAATGTAAAAGTGGCATAGTCTCCATGGAAATCATGGAATGTTCTTCCTGATTACAGCTCTCTCAGAACGTTGTCCCACCATGGCTGTGTGGAAATAATAAAACCAGTATTTTACTAAGAAATCCAATTTTAGTAAATAGCCAATCTCAAGGCATGAGGTCATGAAACTGTCAGGAAAACATCTCAATGGTTTGAAATAGCAAGCTGATAATTCCATACAGTAATAGCAACTGCTCCTCACTATTAATTAGTTTGGATAAAATGATAGGAACTTTATAATGGTTGGTAGGAGTATAACCAAGTATATAGCTCGTGGGTGGCTGTTTTCTACAAAAGAGGACAAATGGAGGATAATTTGAAGTTGAAAGGGGAGATACTCATGGCTGATCACAGAGGACATTTTTGAGCAATAGTTGCAGATGCATTAAATGTCCTCCTGGTAGATCTGGTGGAAATGTATTGCATGATAACAATTCTTCAATAGAAAACAGCATCTATGGGATCTAATAAATGAATACAGAACTCGAAACTGATACAGAATCAGGCCAGAATAGTAATTTGGACAAAATCAGCTTAACTTTCAAAGTCCCCTTTACCAGGGTGAATATTTGAAATTGATGTCCATCGATGTGTTTGGTGAGTAGACTGCAATGTGAATGTTTTAATGTTGATTAAAGCTATAGAAACACAGCAAATGTAAAGTTCCATTGGTTCTCATGGTGTATGCTGCAGTTTTATAACTTTGCCCATAGCATTGCCCTTTATCTTTAATTCTCGGCGATTCTGCAAGAGAGAGTAACAAAATGACCTCTTAACAATGAGACTTACTTATAAAGCACTATTCAGAAGCAGACAAGGAAATATTAAAGACAATATTGTCTACACACAGACTGGTTATCTCAGGCATTTATGCTCTGTAGTGATTATAATTCCTAAGATGCACAGCTAAGCAATTTAGTATCTTGAGTCAAGAACTGATACAAAGCAAATACTGTATAATCAATTTCAGCTTTGGGTTTTCCTCCTAGGATTGTATTCGTTTTACCCTAATCAGTGAATCTTGCAAGCAGTGTGTCTTACAATGTTCCCCATCACTGAATCTTCAAAGCTGGGTATCTTTTTTTTTATTCCAACGTAGTATCCTGCGAGTAGGGTATCTCTTTTTTACCCCATCCCAGATTTTACAAGTAATGTTTCTATCTCTCTTTATCCTATCACTGGATTTTGCAACAGGTGCTCTTGATATAAATTTGTTTTTGCAAGCAAGGTATTTATTTATTGCCTACCCTATTTCTGGATTTTGTAAGGACATCTTTTTAACTCCATCCATAGCTTTTGCAATCAGAGTATCTTTTTAGCCCCATCCCTGGATTTTGTAAGAATGGTATCATTTTAACCCCATCTTTGATTTTTACAAGCAGGGATTTTTTATTTTATTTTAAGCCGTTTTGTGGAGTTTATAAGAAAAGGATCTTTGTTTTTACTCCACCCCTGGATGTTTTAATGAGGGTATCTTTTTAACCCCCATCCCTGAATTTTGCAAGTACTCCATCCCTAGATTTTGCATACGGAGTATCTGTTCCTCACTCCAGCATTTTGCACGTTTGGTATATCTCAGACAGACACTTGAAAATGCTGATATACACATAGTTGTTGAAATTGTTATCACACTTGATGTTGTTTGTTTTTTCCCCTGCTGATGATAAGACTGTGATAGTGCCATGCGAGGTCCCTAAACAAGTCGTCTGTAAATAGCCCCAGCCAGCAGGCAGAACAATGTCTTACAACAAAAACTGCATCCTGTTTGTCATCCAGTCCAAATCTTTATTAAATGAGCGGATATCCCTGCATGATCTTTTTCCAAAAATAGAACCCTCCAGTATTTTAAGGAACAGCAAGTAATCATTATTTCTTCCGGAGCAGGGAATATTTGAAGAAAAAAAACACAATTACAAAAAAAAATAAAAAAAAAAATAAAAAATTATTTTTTTCAATAACTGTTAAAGCATTTCCCTTTGTAATATTTGTGCAACTTTATCTCCAGAACTAAGAAGATAGAATGACGCAAATCCGCAGCATTCTGCTCATAATAGCGCACGGAAATGAATTCTCTGCTAGCATTGAAACACACAAGTATGCTGCTAAGGCCATTGCTTTAATCTTAGCTTCCTATGGGCTGCGATCTGGGGGGATGATGAACCCACAGGAAGGGATTTTAAGGACCTTAGAACAAAAATAAATAATAAAGATTTCACTTGGCAAGTTGGCATTCTTTGAGTGGGTCAGGGAGGGCACGATGCACAATCATCATGATATATAGCAATCACAGCATAATTAATTAATTAATGACTTTATTAGCAATAATTATTAAGCATAAAATGTTAACTATGCACTTTATATATAATTAATTATTATTTTTTATTTATGAGAGAGAAAGTGAAATTCGCCAATCACTGACTGGTGTTACTGTTTATTGAACGCTACATTTTCTAATAAGATTTAGAAACTTTTTACTCGATCGTGTAATAATATTATTATAATTATATTTTTTTATTATTCCGTTTTCTTATTGTTCCTGAGGGTAACTAGATCAGGATGCTGCACTTTCTCCTATCTGCACAGCTGTTCAGTACAGATGTTGGGAATTATTTAAAACTGTAAAATACTTATAAACTGTGCCTATCCTGTGTGATTACTGGTCGATTTAATAAGGTAATAATTTAAAGGGCATTGCATGTGCTGTCATTAATAGGCAGCTTTGGATTGCTCTATATTGAGACTGTAAAACTTTTCCAATGCAAGTTCTAATATAAAGCAATTTAAACATAATTATTTAAAAATTAGATTAGTGACTCAATACCTAATCTACTTTCATTCAACACTTAAAAGCAATTTTGTAACAATTTGTTCTTTTTTTTTCTTTTCTCATTTATAGCCTCTTCCTTGCACCTAATATGTTTATAAATGACCCTAAATTCAGCCAAGCATTTTTAAACCATTAGCACAGATCACTGCATTTGTTTACATAGTTGAAATTACTGAGCAGGATTAAATGGCTAATGATGCCATCTCTTGTAAACTGCAACACAGCAGCTTGAACATTCAGGGTGTTAGGAGAGTAAAAAGTCCTGTTTTATTGTTTGTAATTGTAGCAGTTGCCTAATTATTGTGTAAAACACATCACATTGGTAATTCAGCAGAATGAATGTAAACATTGCTAGAGACTTAATCCAGGTCTGGAGAATTTACTTGATGTGTGTGTGAATGTGTTGTGTGTGTGTGTCTCTCTCTCTATATACGTATACAGCAAACACAGACTCAAAGGAATCCATGTTTAAAATTGAATGAGGCAAAAATGTGATTCTTTGTTAAACTAATTTGCATATGCCCACCCAGAATCCTTTGCTAGTAACATCACTGCAAATTTGTATATATATAGTACAATATATATAGTACATTTTGTCCCTGGGTAGGACAAGAAAGTGAGTGTAAGCAAGAAACATCATCCCATTCAATACTACACTTATGCAGAGAGATTTATGCAAAAAATAAATAAATATAAATATAATATCAACATGCATTATATATATATATATATATATATATGTATATATATATATATATATATATTATATATAATATCAGCATGCATTATATATATAATGCATTTAGATATATATATATATATATATGTATATATATATATATATATATAGAATTTTATATATATATATATATTTAAATCTATCTATCTATCTTATTTTCAATCTAGCTGCTATATATCTCAAGAGTGTGACTACATGTATACTTGTGTGTATTTAAAATGAGTACTCATTATGTGTGTGAGAAACAAAAATGAAACAATGAAATATGATGAAGAATGAAAGACGGGCTGTTGGGTCCAATTACTGAGGTCTGGAAACTCTGTTACCATTAGATAGATTTATTACAGGGGATCTATATATCCAGCAAGCCAGTTGGAGCTTACTATTGATACATTTCATGTCATATTATTTCCTTTAACATCAGCTCCATTGCTAGAGCCAAGAAAAGTAACAATGAGTTGTGTATTGTGACTATGACTTCAGTAGGTGTCATTTTTTCCAAATGTAGCTCGATAACAATACTACAGTGGAACTTGGGAATTAAATGCTTAATTAATTGTACATAGTAGCTTGTATATCAAGGATATGTCTTCCAGAAGCTACAGTTCCGGAGTGGTGAGCACGAACCAAACGCCCCGAAATAAATCTCAAGTTCCAACCACCTCCGAAGGAAATTATGGAAAAAAAAAATCTTCTTGTCCATTGAATTATTTAAAGTTGACCAATTTTCAAGGTATTCACAAACTGCCAGACAGCTGAATAGAGGGTGGCTTGGATTGAGTTAAAATTGAGCCTATGAACTAATGATGGTTTATTAACCAAACCAGGAAATCACGAAGCAATTGCTTATTTTAGGCCAAAAAATAGCTGAATTTGAGATAAAAAGAAAATCTAGTAAATTCCTAGCATTTCAGTGTTAAATGAATAAACGTGTATGTTATCATCAAATCTAAAAATACAGCTGGGAGACCAAACAGCTGAAACCCATAAAATCATGGCACATAAATAAACAAACAAACAATGACATCATTCCCCTTCTCGCACATTATGCATGTGAGCAATGAAAACAATGACAATGACTGTTTTTGTTGCAATGTAGCAACTTTGCTCTCCTCAAGTTAAAAGGGTAATCCAGACAAGTAAACGTGTATCTTAAACTGGAAAAATACAACTGAAAGATCAAACAGCTGAAACCCATAAAATGATGGTAAATAAATAATCAATCAAACAATTACATTATTTCCCCTTCCCACATATTATGCACTGTAGGCAATGGAGATTAGAAGTTACCTGCCCTCCCCTCCTTTTAGAGGAAGGCTCCTAAAGTTTGGTTTAAGAGGCAATTCAAAATGAATATCCTTTACTTTTGAATGAACCAATTGTCAGTGTGGATGGTCATACTAACTTGACGCATGAGATACATGGGTTTGACAGATGGAGGCTGATGGATTAGTGACATCATATATAGTGATTGGACATTCACATGTACATGCCTAAGAGACACTGACTCTGTTTCTTGCAAGTCCATTGCCACCAGTGATGACCTGAGCAGAGGTCCTCTCTCATCTCACTACATTGTCATAGTCTGACCATGGCTAGTCATAGATTCCTTCTCAAGGGAAATACCCAAGTGGGCCATTCTGGGCCTTGACTGCCACTGAGCATGTGGGCCACCAACCCAAGGACAAATTAAGTTCTGGGCTACTACAGTGCTTGTGCAATTCCTCATGAATCATCAGATGTCCCAGTGCATCTCCTGTAGCTATTAATCACCAGTAGAATAGAGCAGTGAGGCTATCCCTACGTGATAATGTCCCCAGGGGAATTGCCCCTCTGTCACCTTCACCCCTTCCTAACCAGGGGACTTGGCTCACAGCACTCATATCCTCCACTCTGTGTGATAGAGGGTTGGAGATCATATAAACGAGCTGGAAGAGCTTGCTCCTGTCTTTATCACTGGGTTGTGGGTTCAGGGTATTATGAAGGGTGCAGTTAAGATCTTCTCGCTCCTTACCCAACTTCTCAGTAGTGGGCTGGAATATAAGAAAAGAATGGATAATTTCATTGACTTTGATTCATGAAGTACCTCATATCTAAGGAATGCTCGACCTCCTGGAAACTGATTGTGTCCACATCCTATACTCGAAGGATAAAGTAAAAATTAACTTAACATCACTCCGAATGTAACTAAATTGCTGCTCATTATTATTATAACTAATAGCATTTATAAAGCACCAACATATTCCTCAATTACAATTATAAAATGGGGATATTTGACAACAAGCAATTTACATAAAGAATATAACAGAGACAAAAGGTAAAGAAGGCCATGTCCAAACGAGCTTGTAATGTGAACATCTTCTTGAACTTTTCATAAAATACCTGCAAAAAAATACATTATATTTAAATTAATGACATTAATAATTTGATTGGGTGGAAAATTAAGACAAATGTAAAGAAATGTAAATGCCGACAAAACTCATTAGCAATCAATAGAGGTGGATCACCTTTTATAGTTTTCTTTCTGCTTGTTCTAAGCCCTTTTCATGTTAAACATTTGCTTCCTACTCCGAGCATTGCACATATGGTAGCTAATGTTCAATACACATGCCTTATGGATAAATTGACAGCGCAGGTCCGAAACACCATACCTACATTCTACAAAACTTGGGAATCATGGGAGGTATACGAGAACCAGTAAGGGAAATGGTCGTAAAGACACGGAGAATGGGTGTCAAGCATGGGAGAACTTGAATGTATACGCAAGAACATGGGAGAACATGGGTGTGCACGAATGGGCATAGATGCCCCCACCCCGACTCGCAGAAATTTACGTTATTTAATTATATTTTTGTTTTTTCTAAACGTTCCTTTCCGTTATATAATTTTCATTAATCTTGATTACTGGTACAATGATGATGTACATGGAAAGAAAAAACAAAAATCACAGGCTGTTACATATTGACTAGAGATGTCGCGAACCGTCCGCGAACTTCCCGCAAACGGTTCACCACGGTTCGCCACGAACCGTTCGCGGCGAACTCTATTCAGCTGACACATCCCGGCCAATCTCCAGCAGACCCTCCCTCACAGACCCTCCTATTTCCTGGACAGCATCCATGTTGAAGGCAGCTTCAACATGGATGCTGTCCAGGAGGTGGGAGGGTCTGGGAGGGAGGGTCTGCCGGAGATTGGCAGGGATGTGTCAGCTGACCGGAGTTCGCCGCGAACGGTTCGTGGCGAACCGTGGCGAACCGTTCGCGGGAAGTTCGCGGACGGTTCGCGACATCTCTAATATTGACACATTATATATTGTATTGTAATCCGCTGAAACATATGTCACTGTCATATACTATTGCCTGTCAACAAATATATGATTTTTATAAAATTTTAAAAATAAAAATTTGTTTTTGGGCTTTTACACTGCTGAGAGTTCAGGTTGGTAACTGAGTTGGAATCCCTACGTTCCACACTTCTATTAACCAAAAGCCCCTTACACTAGGGATATGAGAATAAGGGAGAACGTGTGTCTGGCTCTCCAGCTCATTTGTCTCAGCTGTTATAACACTACAGTGTTGAAGATGAGGAGGCTGCCAATCAGATGATGTTTTTTCCTCCTACTCAGCTCTTTGTGGATGGTATACGTATGGGCAGACTTTAATCATCTGTCATGAAAAAAAACTATCTCATCTTGCTTCACACATCTTTCCATTAAAAAGTCATCCATCCTCTTTCTCAAACAGTGTTCAACCTTAAGAAGTCTATTCACTAAACAGTAAGTTGCTTTGAACTGACAACCAACTTTCAGACCAAAATGTGGATTGCAAAAAAAATGAGGCGAGTTGGCAATCTATTCTGGCTTGGATATTATAATGTAAATTAGTTATCAACCCAACACAACTCACTGCTTCTATACCGTCTTACAGAACGCATATTTCTTGAGATGTATTATTTTTACTATCTCATTATTAAGCAGTCACCTCTTTAATAACGTCACCTCTTTAATAACGTTTAAGCATTCATTAGCTGCATATTTATTTTACATAGAGCTGCACATTACTCTGTCGGAACAGTTAAATACATAAAATATTCTATATGACCCCATTTCTAGAATCCTAAAAAAACAAATATAAATTAGCAAAATATTCATTGGCATTGTTAGATTAAATTATTATTGATTATTTTATTTGTTTTTAAAATTACATAACAGATGGATGAATACTTATATTCTCTCTAGCACACATGAGTATTTTACCCAGTAATCTGCACTATAATGACACAACCAGTGCCGGATTAACATAGGGGCTGATGGAGCTGCAGCTCCATAATAGGGATAAATATAGAGATTGGGATAGACACAAGGTTGGACACATAGAGGAACACTCAGACAGACATAGAGAGACAGAGAGATAGCACAATATAACCGGATGGTGGATAGAACCTGCAGAATATTGTTATGATACATGTTTTTATACAGTAGAGAGTATATTAGACTTTAGGAGAGGTGCTGGTTGTTACCAGGAGGTAAAGCTAAGAATATTGCTGAATGTTGCACAACCAAGGAGCCTCACACCTGCATTCTCCTTAAATGTGTTCTCTGGCGACATCTAGAGGCTGTTTTTGATAATCGCATGGTGATTCAAATTGTTTGAATTAATAACATATGAAGTTGTGAATAAAAAATAAATTTTCAGGAATGCTAACATCTTATTTTTCTTAACTTTTACGCACAATGCCAGATATCCACACATGGGTAACAATAAACAATGCCAGACATACATACAGTGATTGTGTGTAATTATTTGTCAATGTATCTGTGTGTCCCTGTGCATAAATGTGTTTGTATGTGTATGTGCGTGTATGTATCAGAGTGTGTTTGTGTGTGCATTAGTGGGTGTATGTGTGTGTGTGTGGATGTGTGTGGATGTATTTGGGCATGTGTCCAAAGAGGCAACACGGTGGCAATATAGTATGGGTATTGTCACAGTAATGTGGCAACATATGCGATGTACGTAAGGGTATATACACACACACACATATATATCCATAATAATAGCTACTTGCAGTCTGGCACTTTATCTCCAATTCTTATTCTTTATTTTGAAATAGTCATCTGCAATATGAAAGTTTCCGTTCCACGTAGGAACTTTCTTTAGGACAATAAAGAGTATTCAAAAACAAACAATGTACTTATAGATAAAATAGACACAGTGATTTTATATATTTTATCTATAAACACGTTGGTTCTTTTTATATACGCCGAGACCATCTGATAGAAATAGTGGGGTTAAACTCTTCTATTTTGGTGGAAGCACCTGTAGTTGCTGTCAGTATTTTGATAAGACATCCATAAAGAAGTACCTTTTTGGTTTTTGGAGATCATAGTTTTTTCATGTTTTTCTAACATTGCTGTATATATATATTTTCACTTCAATTGAAGTGTTATTGCACTTGTTTTTTGTATTATAGAAGCAGGCTAACGTTGCCGTTCCTACAGAATGTCAAAAGTGGGGGTGGACATGGCACCCAGACCACTTCATTGGGTGCCAATAGTGTCATTTTACGAAATGATATTTGTTTACAACGTTTTCTTAAACATAATTTCATTAGATATATATGTATTATATATTATATATATTTTTCTAAATATTTTTTGGTCCAATGAAAATGTTCATTTTTATTTCCATTAAATGATGTGCTATCAATGCACACTGAAACAAAACATACATTTAAACATTACTTTCCAGGACAAACATAAAGGATTTAAAGGGTGTTTAGATGGTCCCAGGCACATCCTTTGTACAAAATGACCTTACTTAGGTATAAACATAATAAACATAAACTGGCTGTGGTCAGGGATAACAGAGGTGCACAGAAATAAGGAACAAGCCAATGTCAGGGTTACGAAGAGAGCAAGAATGGTCAAACAAGCCAAAGTCAGAAAACTGGATAAGTGCTATAATATAACGCACTCTCAGTTATACAGAAACCATGACAGGGCAGATAGAAAAGGGACAGCCCTGGAGGTATATGTACCCTAAACTGTGTAGTGATTGGTTACAAGCAAGTGATGTCATCTTGGAGTATAGAGGTTATAAAATAGCGCCATCAAAGGAAATAGTAGATCTTTCGGGTACTCCTGAGACCTCTAGAACCTGACCCTTGGGGCTGTCTGCTCTCGAGACCAACTGAGGGACTTAATCGACACGAACAAAAAACTACTAAACATGTTATATCTATCAGCAAGACGAGCACTTGCACAAAAATGTGTAAGCCCGGAACTGCCACACATATCTGTAGTACTCATGAAAATTAGGGACAACTATCTCATGGGCAAACTCACGGCACAGGTGCATAACACCACCTCCACTTTTAATAAGATATGGGAGCTGTGGGAACAATATGACAATTAAACTTGAGGGGTACGGGAAATACAAGAAAGCACATATACTCTCACTTACAATGAGGCTTACACATTCATACTACTTAAATCAACCAGACCTCCCCCTGAAATCGCAGAGCCAATGGTTTTACGGTTATGTAAGATTTTTAAATGTTCTACTGTTTGTATAAAATGTAAACAAAAAAGTTGACTGAGTACACTCAAGCAACGCCACACCTGTGACCATGACTGTTCTATATCAATTTAGACTTCTGCGCAAGCCTCAGTGTACTTCGTTGGCTAACTCTTTGTCAATGCAAAAATAAAGATTTAAAAAAAAAATAGCACCATCAAATCAGTGAGTGTGTGTCTGACAGAGAGTATGTCTGTCAGTGAGATTGTGTGTCTGTTAGCAAGTGTGTGTGTTTGTCAGTGTGTGTCAAAGTAGTGAGAGTGTTTGTCTGTCAGTGAGTGTGTGTCTGTTAGTGTATGTCTGTTAGTGAGTGTGTGTATCTGTCTGTCAGTGGGTGTGTGTGTCTGGCAGTGAGATTATTGGTCTGTCAGTGTATGTATGTGTGTGTCTGTCTGGGGCCCAGTCGTGCTCTGGGGCCCGGTCGTGCTCTTAAAGCGCTGCAGCGCTGACCGGGCCCCAGGAAATTCATTGCCATCGGGTGGCCCCAAGAACATGGACCACCCGATGGGCTCCTTTAATGTAGCCCGGCGCTTTTTTTCGCAGCTGCAACCACCGCGGTAGTTCCGCCAGTGCACACAGATTGTTGAATACACGGACTGATACAGACTGCTGGATACACACACACCCTAACTGCAGAGTACACACTCATAGACTGCTGAATACAAACACACAGACTGCTGAATACACACACACAGAATGCTGAATACACATACAGACTGCTCAATACACAAACAGACTGTATTCAGCAGTCTGTCTGCATGTATATTCAGCAGTCTGTGTGTGTATTCAGCAGTCTGTGTGGGTGTGTATTCAGCAATCTGTATGTGTATTCAGCAGTCTGTGTGTTTACTCAGCACACACACTGACAGCTAATACACACAAACACACAGACTGCTGTATACACACACACACAGAGTGCTGTATACACACACGCAGCCTGCTGAATACAAACACACAGACTGCTGAATACACACTGTAGCGGAGGTGCAATATTCCCCAGGTTATCTCCGCTTATGATCCAAGTGAGGCTCAGGAACAAGCAAATAATAAATCCACAGGCAAGGTTTCCAGCAGGTAAAATAACAGCAATATCCCCACAGCAATCCCAATAACTGGACGACACACAGTTTCAGGAGCAGAACTGAAAGCTTTAATCCACAGTCTCCTTTTAAAGCATGCTCCCATGCAAGGGAGGGATTTACAATAATTATTACAGTAGCCAATCCTGTCCTGGTAACCTCCCACACATCTCCTCCCCTCAGCCAGCATCATAATCCCCTTATCCAGTACAGTAATTCCCCCCGTTTCTGGATGTACCCCTAAACGTAGGGGTACCGCTTTAAATCCTACATCCCCAGATACCCCTGATCTGGGTGAACAACATATCCAAAAATCACCCAGATCAGACCAGGGGTTCGGGAAATGTATGGAGGGAATAAAATGACCGACCGCACTAACTGAGATAGCCGAATGAGGTTCCATGCGAATGGGCCCTGCGGTCGGTCCTGGCATAAGGGAATTAAATACACGAAAACCTCTAGCTATAGAGGCTAGGGAGGGTTCGCCTGAATCCCCTCGTTCGGTTCTTTCTATCTACCGAACGAGGGGCCGTTCGGTAGTTTGGAACCGAACGGACCGGGCTTGTGGAGGTCTCAGCGGTGTTCGCCTACTCGAGTGTCCGATTTTAGTTCCAGACACTCGACGGCAAAACACCGCTGTTCGGGAGTTTTAAAATGGCCGCCGCCACGTGTTCGTTTGTCGAATGGCGGCCACCCCCGAGAACAAAGGACGGCTACTTACTAGTCAATTACCCATTCGCAACAATGTTGCAACGGGTAATTGAGGACACACTTCACACAGGGGAGGTCTGGTTGTTCGGTATTTTCATTCGAATAAACTAAGGGAATGAAACTACCGAACAATCAGAGGAATACAATTCTTTTAAAACACATAGAAAACTAGCAGATCACACGAATGCAGTAATTTCAAAGACATTTGCAGGACAGCCCAGTGCCATCCGCTACACACACAGACTGCAGCAATCTGTCTATGTGTATACTCAGCAGTGTGTGTATATTCAGCAGTCTGTGTGTGTATTCAGCAGTCTGTGTATTCAGCAGCCTCTGTGTGTGTGAATTCAGCAATCTGTGTGTGTATTCAGCAATCTGTGTATGTATTCAGCAGTCGGTGTATGTATTCAGCAGTCGGTGTGTGTGTATTCAGCAGTCGATGTGTATGTATTCAGCAGTCTGTATGTATACTCAGCACTCTGTGTGTATACTCAGCACACACCGACTGCTGAATACACACACACCAACTGCTGAATGCACACACACCGACTGCTGAATACACACACACACCAACTGCTGAATGCACACACACCGACTGCTGAATACACACACACACACACCAACTGCTGAATACACACACACCAACTGCTAAATACACACACAGACTGCTGAATGAATACACACACACAGACTGCTGAATACACACACACACAGAGTGCTGAATACACAGACTGCTGGATAAATGAACACAGTCTGCTGAATACACACAGTCTGCTGAATGCACAGAGATTGCTGGGTACACACACACAGACTGCTGAATACACACTCACTGCTGAATACAGTCACAGACTGCTAAATACAAACACACAGATTTAGTAAGGGGTGCAGTGTATGTGTGTGTAGGGGCGGTGTGTGTGAAGGGTGCTTTGTGTGTGAGGGGTGCAGAGTGTAGGGGGTGCAGAGTGTGTTAGAGGTGCTATGTGTGTGGGGGTGCAGAGTGTGTGAGGGGTACTGTGTTTGTGAGGAATGCTGTGTGTGTGCGGGTGCTTTGTGTTTGTGTGAGGGGTGCTGTGTGTAAGGAGTGCAGAGTGTGTGAGGGGTGCAGAGTGTGTGTGAGGGGTGTTGTGTGTGGGGAGGTGCTTTGTGTGTGAGGGGTGCTGTGTGTGTGAGGGGTGCAGAGTGTGTGTGTGTGTAAGGGTGGGTGGTTCTGTGTGTTTGTGAGGGGTGCTGTGTGTTTGTGGGGTGTGCCGTGTGTGGGGGGGGGGGAGTGATGTGTTTCTGTGAGGGGTGCATAAGGTTAAGAGAGCATATGTATACAGAATTTATTTTAAAATTAGTAAAAGCTTTGTGTTCCCTCCTCTCCCCTTCTTTTTACCTTTATCCAGGGAGGGGAACACACTGCCAGCCCTGGTGGTCCAGTGTTGATAGGTGCTCTTTAGCCTGCAGTTCTTCTGGCTGCAGGCAACCTGTACTTCTCCCACAAGGTGAGTGCTGTGTAGGAGCATTGCAATGGCAACAAGCGGCAACAATCCGATCAGCATTCTCGCAGGAGAAACTTCCTCCCGCTCCCTCCTCCCTCCCTGTCATGGATGAAGGGCCTCTTGGGCCAGTGAGGAAGATCCTTGATCTCCTCACAGTCCCAAGAGGGCCCAAAGCAACCAAGCAGGGCCTGCAGGGAAGACCAAAGGATCACCCCTTGTCGGCCTGGGAACATGGGCAACGCTGTGAGGCACGTATTCTTGTGGGGTCCCCGGGCAAGTGCCCAGCATGCCCATGCGGAAAGACGGCCTTGGATTGTTGTGTTGAGATATTGGGAGCATAGGGATTTCTGGGGCCCTGTGATTCCTGGTTATGCCCCTGGACTGTAAATATAACATAGTAAAATAGTCTAACATATCAAATACACAAGTGCACAATACCTGCAAAGTCTATTTGAAAACCTTAAAAAAACACACAATTGCCACCTATTAGCAGCATCAATGCACTTATTGGCTGTCAGTATCCTTTAGCCTGTGATGCAATAAAAAAAGCATGTAACAGTACCAATTATTTTACCAAAAACCTCAACCCCTCTGAGATATATATATCTGCCAAGAATGGGGTACATTGATGTTGTGGCAGGCTTATGCAGGGACGTATTAGCCGCGAGGCAAACAAGGCATTTGCCTTGGGCGGCATTTTTCAGGGGGCGGCAAAAAACGCCGCCCCCCAAATGCCCAGGGCAGATGCCTTGTTAGCCTTGTGGCTAACTGACATCCCGGGCGGCCGGCCGGCGAGGGAGCACTTCCCATGAGCTGACTGCTCAGCTCCCTCGCGCGTCGGCTGCAGAGTGAGGCTGGGAACCGGAAGATGACGTCATCTTCCGGCTCCCAGCCTCACTTTGCAGCCGACGCGCGAGGGAGCTGAGCAGTCAGCTCATGGGAAGTGCTCCCTCGCCGGCCGGCCGCCTGCCAGCGCCGCCCGCCCTGCAGCCACTGGACCACCAGGGAGAGAGACCCCCCCCCAGCACTCCCAAAGGTAAGGAGGTTGGGGGGGGGGATTTAAATTAAAAAAAAGTTAATGTGTGTGTGTCTGACTGTGTGTGTGTGTTTGTGTTTGTGAGTGTGTGTTTGTGTGTGACTGTGTATGTGTCTGACTGTGTGTGTATGTGACTGTGTGTGTCTGTGTGTGTTTGTGTGTGTGTTTGTGTCTGACTGTGTGTGTGTGTGTGTCTGACTGTGTGTGTCTGTATGTCTGACTGTGTGTCTGTGTGTGTATGTGACTGTGTGTCTGTGTGTGTTTGTGTGTGTGTTTGTGTCTGACTGTGTGTGTCTGACTGTGTGTGTCTGTGTATGTGACTGTGTGTGTCTGTGTGTGTTTGTGTGACTGTGTGTGTGTGTGTGTATGTGTCTGACTGTGTGTGTGTGTTTGTGTCTGACTGTGTGTGTTTGTGTCTGACTGTGTGTGTGTGTTTTTGTGTCTGACTGTGTGTGTGTGTATTTAGAAGGTGGGGCGGGGGGAAGGGTTGGGTGGGGGTGGCGCGGGGGGGAGGGGGGGCGCCTGAGTTTTGTCCTGCCTAGGGCAGCACAAAACCAGGATACACCACTGGGCTTATGTATTATATGATTGTATACTGTAACTAAACCCCCATTACTTTTGTCAAGGTGAGGTGTTTTTTGAGACTTGAAAATGTAGTTTAGTGAATAAGCGAGTGCCCTGGATCTTGTATGATATAAATATATACATATATACGCACCCAAAGCTTGGAGTAATTAATTGTATGCATTTATAAAATTAGTTTGCAGTATGATGGATTGGTGAATCTGACTTTTCCCTCTCCCTGAAGCTTACTTTGGGCTTCGGGAGGGAGAATTTATTTGGTTCCCTGGTGGACTGGTGGTAGATACAGCATGTCTGCACCCCCAATGGGTGCAGAGATCTCCTTCCGGCCGGTGCTGGTAAATATATCAGAACGTTTCCGTGGGAACAGTCCAATTTAATACAGGTGACAGAGAACCTACCACTATTTGAGTGCCAGCCCTGCAGTGGCTGCCCTGGGGAAATCTCCCATGTCAGCCTCAGCTACAGAGCAGGAGAATGGGCTGGTTGATGAAGGAGATCTTTGATAGAAGTCTTTGATCTTCCTCACTGGCCATGCTGCTCTCTCATGTCTGCCACCCAGAGGCCATGGCCTTGGTGGCCTTGTTGCAAATCTGGCCCTGGTTACCAACAGTAAAATAGTTAATCTTGGATTGTAATCACTTGATAATTGTCATGCAATACGGAGCGAGTCAGAACACATTATCACTTGGATACCAACACTAGATTAGAAAATAGTACAAAAATGTATTTATCT